CTTAATACTGAAAGAAAGCATACGTGCGCATGTCAGATATCCATTGACTTGATCAAAGACCACTTCACAAAGAGTTTATAATATTTATAGCTCTTGAATAGCATGCAATTTACTAAGGACACTCAGATACAGTCATGAATATAAAAGTAATATTCACAGTCTAGAAAATTAAAACTTCGAGACAGATAACGACCTTTAATAAAGAAGCGTTCACATGGCATAAAAAGGAAGGCGTAAATATCACCTAGTTGTCTTTGGGTAACCACGCTGAAACGTAAATTCTGCTTTCGTAGGGAAGTAGATAAATTCTTTCTAATATGTAGCATTGCAATCAAACCGGGCACACTTAAGAGGTTTACAGGGATATAAAGAGAATGAAAAATGTTTGACAAGAAGTGAGGAAAAAACAGAATTCAGAAATACAGAAGATGGCGATTGAAATTGCATTTACATTTTTGAAGATTGTAGGTGGTAGGGAAGAAATAAATCGGAAGGGAATTCAACAGGCGAGACGTGCAAGAAAATAAACTATCAGAATAGAACTTACTGGTTGCCAATCTAGTCGCACACTTAAAATGATGCTGTCTAAAGAGAACAACACTAAGGAGAAAAGCTCATCAGAGCAATTGCCATGAAAATATTTGTAGAAAAGAAGGAAGCTACGCTATGTCCATGGGAAAGTGACTGAAGTCGAGATGCCAGGAGAGGATTGATTACATTACAGACCATTCTTTCAATTTTGTCAAGAGTCTCGAGATATGTAGTAAGAGTACCAGACCAGATATGGCCGTAGTATTCGATGCACGGACAATGGTAGATGTATAAATGTGCAAAAGGGATTCTTACAAGAATTGTCTGGCACGGAACACTAAACCAACTTTCCTAGTAGTAGACCTAGCAAATTTGATTCAGTACAATCACCCCACTTCATATAAGTGGAAAACGTGAGAAGACGCAAAGTGTTGCTTACCTAGGGTTTTGTGATGACTAACAGAAAAGTTTCTCTGTGGTGATTATATGAAAGCAGTTTTTAATGCATTAAAATCTCCAAGGCATTCCTTCTTCAATTTAATAACTGATTAGCGGTCCTTTTCGAGAGCAGATGCCAGTACTACTTTGTCGGATCTATCAGACTTGCTACTAAGACAGAAATAAATAGTTGTGTCATCTGCATAGAAACCTAGTTGGGAACTGATGACATCAGAAAAATCGTTGATGAATATCAGAAACAGCGTAGGTCTGAAGATAGAGCCCTGATTTACCCCCGAATTAATGTGAAAGGATCTAGAAGCGTGTTCATTCAACACGATCTTCATTACACCATTTGTTAGGAAAGACTGAATTAGGACATATATTTGTCCAGTTACACCATAACCCTTGAGCTTGTGGAGAAGCCCAGCTTACCAAACCCTGTCGAGCGCCTTTGATATATCTAGTGTCGCAGTCCGATCTTTGCCGTTCTTATATAAAGCTTGATAGACAAATTCAGTGATGGCTGTTAACTCACAACCTGTAGAAACCGAAGCTATATTATTTACTCGAAAGGAGGTCGTGTGAAGTATACTTTCCCAAAAAGAGATAAGAGACTAACAGGGAGATAATTCTAAGGGCCACATAGTTTCCCAGAGTTCTTAAAGAGAGGAAATGCAGAGGAGGAATTTTAACAAGTTGGAAAGATCGAGACATTTATCTTAAAGTTGGAAGAGAACAGGAGCCAGTTCAGAAGCACATTTATTTAGGGCAATTACGGCGATAACGTCGGATCCGCAAACCTCGTGGAGATCTAGTTTAGAAATGATAGAAGAAAACATGGACGGAGTTATATAGTGCATATCACTCAGATGAGGCTCTGTTCTAAGGGGAAAATGAGGCAGAGATATCGCACTTCAAATGTAGCAGAAGCAATTAAAACATGGACAGCAACAGCAGTCAAAACGAGACAGCCAGCAGCAGTTGCAACCTAATCAACTAAAGTTTAAATATAACGTCAATCGTTATCTGCTATTTCCTTGAATCATGTTCTTTTATTGCTCTCTCTCTTCAATAATTCTTTTATCGATTCTTTCACTTTCAGCACCCCCTTGAGTTTTAGTGGCTTTATCACCTTGCTTGGATGAAATTATTAAAAAATCTTTCGGAACATGATTGATAATAAAAAAAAGTAACAGTGGAAAGCGCTTTATTTGTAAATACGAGTCGTGTATAGAGGAACGAAGGGGATAACAGACGGAAGATACAATCTGTGGTTATCAGCAAAGGAAACAGTCTATTGGGAACATCAACATTAAACAAAAAAAATTAACTATCTGGTTAGTTTAATGACAGATGATGGACAATGTGAGACAGAACAGTAGAAAGCGAAAGATGTCTTACAGAAACTAGGCAAAAGTATTAAGAGATAATAACATGTCGTCAGAAACTAACAAAAGAATAATGAACTGTTACGTAATAACTAATCTCCGAATGACAGTGGATGCTGGACAAACTCATCACAGATGAAGAGAAAACTTGTAGCGAGAGAGATATTGTTCTACCAACGAATGCTGAAAACACTATGGACAGAGCATATTCGCAATGAAAAAGTTTAAATAAAAATAGGGACTTAAAAAGAAACTTAATCTTACATTCAGAAAAAGACGGTTGAAATTTCTGGGATATATAAAGAAGAGGGCCTGGAGAATTTAACACTCACACGACACACTGAAGGTAAGAGAATCAAAATTACTTACTTGAGTTGGAGTGAATGGATTACTTATTTGAGTTTGTGTGAATAGATGACCAAACGGGAACAAAAAAGAATGATAAAGACTCAAAAAATTACTTAAACCAACAAAATAAGTAAGTCGTGGAGTGCCATGGTCACTCACATGGAGAAATATTACATAAAAGAAGTTTCTCAGTTGGGTGTTAAAGACTTCCTGTGTGGATGTGGTATTTTAACCATTAGTGCTCACGTACACTTTCTTAACCCAAGTAAAAAGATTTCGAATGCTGATTTCCAAAGCAGTAAAGATGGATGCGCATAAAAATCAGCAGCTATAATCTCGCCACTATATTTGATTTTTGTCATGAATGAAGGTAAAATAGTTATTTTCAAAATATAATATTCAACACAAGACTACGCTCAATAAAGATATCAACCGTAATGATCTCTGCTAGATAGTTGAATGAAGACTACTTTCGCTGTATAATTGAGTGAATACTACTCTCGCTGGATAGATTGAATGAAGACTACTGTCGCTGAAAAGTTGAGTGAAGACTAATTCCGCTGGAAGGCTGAGTGAATACTTACTCCCGCCGGATAGTTTGAATGAAGACTACTGTCGCTGAAAAGTTGAGTGAAGACTAATGTCGCTGGAAGGCTGAGTGAAGACTAATGTCGCTGGATATCTTAGTGAAGACTAATGTCGCTGAATATCTGAGTGAAGACTACTCTCGCTGGTTAGCTGAGTGAAGATTAATGTCACTGGATAGTTGAGTGAAGACTACTCTCGCTGGATAGTTGAGTGAAGACTACTCTTGCTGGATAGTTGAGTGAAGACTAATCTTGCTGCATAATTTAATTGAAGACTACTCTAGCCCCTCTCGTGATGTAACCACCTGCCATTTTTCCTAGGGTGTATAAATGGTTGTCAGCTTAATACCGCAAGATGCGCTTGCTTTGGGCGTCAAATCATTCAGAGTGATACATCCAGGAAGACTGCAATTAGGGTTTTAAGTTTCTTAGAATATCAATCGTATGCAAATATGTATGAAACAAGTCAATGCCGATAACGGGTTATTACCATCTTTCCCACATTATTATATTTGGCGACAAAAGATCAAGCTGCCACTCTTATAACAGCTTGTTAAACATTACATCATGATGAGACGCCTTGAGGTTAGTAAATATCTACTTAAGAACAGGAATAAAGTACAAATTTTGTTAATTTTCCCCCTAAATAATCATATCTTGTAACAAACATCGTTATTTTACTTCAGTAACCCTGTTAGGTTCTAATAGCTTATCATGAGGAGTTCATCTTTACAGAATTTGTTTATCTAAGCTGACCAGAAAGTCCTGACTCACTTAGAAAGCGGAAAGAAAACAACAAATCTTGATTTATGTCTGGTGGAATTTCCATTTCGAGCTTGTTCCACACCCGTCGCGCCATCAACGCTAAATTGCATTGTCAGCAGCTAGATCACATATACGACAAACTAAAGGAGTATCCTGATTTGTTCAATGGAGTTCGGGCTTTGTTTCAGCAAGACAATACAAGGCTACACACTGCCAGGTTGACTAAGAAGTTCAAACAGATGGATGGTGTTGAGATTCTTCCACATCCACTATTCAGTTCACATGTTGCTCTGAGTGACAATGGCCTATCCCGCTCAATGGCACACTTCTTCCGCAACCAACGATTCAACACTTTTGATGAAGTAAGGGGAGCTTGTTTACAGTTTTGTTATTGAAAGCCAACGGGCGGGTATCTGGGACAGATTCGGATGCTGGCTGATCGCTGGTCAAAGATTGTCGGGAATGATGGACTTTATTTTGAAGATTAATGTTGGTGTTGCTTCATAAAATTTTGTTTTATTTTCGTTTCCTAAATGAGCCAGGACTTCTGGCCAACCTAATATTATTATTATAATTCGTTTGTCAATTATATTTACTATGATTATTGATGTTTACATTGGAATATTAAATATCGTTATATAGGATATACACAAAATTTCATACACTGATCGATTCATTTTTATGCTTTATTAACCCTTTGAATGTTATTAAAGACAAAAAATATTTTAGATTGTAATAATTCTTTTTTTTGAGATAATAATGATTTAGCAATACTAAATTCTTACTAATTAACCCATAGCTGGGGGAGAAGTGGTTGATTCATACATTTTTCAAGAGTATTTGCGCGTAAGTGAATATGACGAACCCAACTAGAATTTGAACTCGACTCTCCGATTAACAATTCCGAGCCATTATCCATTACATCAAACACACATCCAAGCTTACAACACCTCGTATTCCCAAGCGGTCACCTATCTAGGTACTGACCAGGCTCAACGTTGCTTAACTTCGCTGATCGTACAGGAACCGGTGTTTGAACGTGATGTGGTCGTAATCTTCAAATAATTTAATGGCCCAGTGGTTAACAGATGTCTTAAAAAGCAATTTTTTCAGTGTTCTGTGTTTAATCTCCACTGAGGGATACATGCTTTCTAAGAAACTAAAAGGAGACTGTTTTGTTGGGGAGATAATTTTCGTGTTTCCTATCTGCATCAAGGGTAGGTGTTTGAATCCAACTAAAAGATTTCGAATAATGATTTTCAATGGAGATAAATCTGTCTTATGGGATTTATACGGTAGTTTTTCTCTTTGTGCTAGGTTATGATGCGTAATGAATTTCAACGCCCAACCTTACCAAAACTTCGAAGGTTGTATCAAAGCTCAGGCTAGTGCATACAATGGCCAGTTGAACAGATTAACCATAAAAGAAATGTGTCCACTCAAGTTGCGAGTTCCTCATATAACTATCAGGACTCGGGATTGTTTTTTCTTTTTGTCTTTACTTTCGTCAGAGTACTCAAATATTAGCCTATGTTATCATGGCATAGCCAAATGGAACTTAAATTTGGGGTTAAGTGGACAGTGGTGTTTGTACTTAAATTATAATGTGCATTTGTTTTAGCGGTAATGGTACTTTGTATTTTCTTTATGGCTACCTTCAGATCACGTAGTCACAGCTTTCTAAAGGCATTCAATTGAAGATGAACATATTATTAGCGTTAACAGTTTGCAAGAAGTGATATTAGAGTGCACATGCCCACGCATTTTCAATCTTCCCGTGCACGATGTCCTGGCGCATGTACATGTGTGTTAGTGTGTGAGTTAGGGTGTTCATTCACGAGTGCACCACAGATTCCTATATCTTTGCGCATATATATATATATATATATATATATATATATATATATATGTATGTATGTATGTGTGTGTGCGTGTGATATTTGTGCATTTGTTTCTGTGTGTATATTCATAATGCCACGATTTCCTTTATAGATGTGTTATGATATCTGATTACGTGTCTACGTTCTTCGATTACCTATGAATATGTATGGCCATCAGTATTAAGGCGCTTGTTTTTGCGTTATCTTTGCGTAAGAATGATCAAGTGCTTATTCGTGTATACATGAATTTATGAATGAATACACGGAGTGTTAGATATATATATATATATATATATATATATATATATATATATATATATAGGGGGGTGATTGTATAAAACTTTCAGATACAGTATAGCTGTAAAAAAGGACAATATAAATATCGACAAAAGGAAAATTTATCTTAGCCGATGCGTTTATTCTTCTGAGGGACTTTATCAAGGCAAGTGCAAAGATTGTATTTTGTAACAAGTATTTATATACAAGAGCAAAAATGTTATTGGTTTTTCAAAATGTTTAAGTTCTTAGTCCCTATAGCAGAAGTTTCATTTAATTGATAGCACTTTTCTTAGTATATGAGATCTTCCTAGCAGGGCGACCTGGACAACTTGTTTGTTGATGTTAACTGGAGTACTGTTAGTAAAATTGCCCATTCCTTTACTCACGAAGCCCAGAACTCCGATTACTATTGGTACAGTCTCAGTCTTCATTCACCACATATGGTTAATCTCGATCTCCAGGTCCTTGTATTTGGAGTCAGTCACTCAGACAGAATCCGATTTTTTTTCGTGATACCCCTGACAGAGGTAAAATATAAAATTCGACATATTGCACAACTGTCTTTTTTGTTTCACCCCACCATGCACATTCAATTTCGTGTGCGGGCAACGCTGCTAGAATCATTTACTGTGGACGTTGTGTTACACATGTACACACATGGACAGGCATATGTTTTCATGTGTGTGTCTCTATATAAATATGAAACTTGATTTGAAACTTGACTTGTTTAGTTGAAATTTGATTTACAATTTTCAATATATATAGTTCGATTTATGAAGTTAATAGAGAATATTTAAATGTAATTTAAAAGATAGATTTTTTTTGAGCAATAAATAGTTCTTGCTTGAAGTAAATGCTACTTTTTCATGAAGTTACTACATATTTATTGATATGCTTATGTATATGTAATTAAAAGCAAATGAGATGCACTGAAAACTAAAACCAAATAAAAAATGATTTTATTTAAAATTTGTAGGCAATGTTCATAACTTGGTTTTCACATTATATGTTTTTAAGTCTATCCTATTTTAAGTGTCATTTAATGCGTCATATTATTTTGCTATGAGCAGAAAATAAACGATAAAAGAAAAAGAGTAATGAAGGCTTAAGATAAAACATCTCTCTCTCTCTCTCTCTCTATATATATATATATATATATATATATATATATATATATATTGATACATGTTTCATTAAATAATATAGACAAGTGTTGTCTATTTATTTTATGTAAAATATTGATACATATTTTTAATCCTAACTAAACTTTCGGCTTACATAAGCCATTATGTAAGATGACAATTACATTACAATATATTAAGTAATACACGTACAAGACAGTGATGATAGTCTGTTTCTGTTTACATGGAAGATTTCCAAGCAACGAGAAAGTCGTGCATATAAGACGCTGGAAGCGAAAATCGCACCGCAGCTCATGACGTCACACATGACCACGCGAGAGTGAATAATTTCCTTCAGTTGGTCCGGGGCAGTTATATCCTTTAGTTTATTGTAGATGCCCTGTTTATTGCTGTTAAGGGTGTTCAATTTTTCCTTGACTATTTCAATTTGCCTTTTCACAAAGATACATTTATAATTCCAAGTGTTTATAGTTTTGTGGGCTGCTGGATCATGTAATTTAAAATGTCTGTATTTAGGCAGCATTTTTTCATTGATGCATGTTTCATTAAATAATATAGACAAGTATTTTCTATTTATTTTATGTAAAATATTGATTGTGTGTGTGTGTATTATTATCTTTATTATTCTTAACTATAAGTATATATGCGCGTTGTTGTTGTTGTTGTTACTATTATTATCATTTATGTATATTATATTTCCTGCTTTGTAATCTGTAGAGACGGGACAAAATTATGAATCTTAGTCCCCATAGCAGAAGTTTCATTTAATTGATAGCACTATTCTTAGTATATGAGATGTTCCTATTAGGGCGATCTTCTGGGCAACTTGTATGTTGATGCTACCTGAAAAAGTGTCCATTCCTTTTCTCAAGAGGCCCAGAGCTCTGATTACTATTGGTACAGCCTCAGCCTTCATTCACAACATTTGGACAATTTCTCGATAATTTTCATAGGAGTGTTTCTCTCAGATGATACTGCTATGTCAGTAAGCATATGCTTTCTGAATTCTTTGTCTTTTAAGATAATAGCAGGTCGGTTTGCTTTTATTTTCCTGTCAGTTTGAATTGGCATGTCCCAGGGGATACATACATCGTTATTTTGGGTAACTTTCTCTAGTTGGTGATCATACCATCTGTCAGTGGTTTCGATTTTGTACTTAATGCAAATCTTTGAGTGCACACACGTCGCTACCTATATGGTCGATATTTTCATCATATTTTCCACAAATCATGCGTTTTGGGTTAGTTCCACTCTTGATTACGTGACAGTGATAGAATCTGGTTGCGAGACTTTGGTCCTGAGCTGCAATAATTAGGCCTTCTATCTCAGCTTTCAACCCGGTGCTCCTTGTTTTCTGTTGGTCCACGTTTGTTTCTTTCGTTCTTTTTAGGTATTTGCCATGCAATGCCTTGTCTTCACAGTTTTTGTAATTTCATTTGGCCAAGTTGTTATGATTTATGTTTTGCTCGTTTGGCGTGGATGGTATTCATTTTTCGTTTTTTGTTGGTAGGGTTTCAGGTATATTAAGCTGTTTCTTGAAGAGTGTATCTTTGTTGATGTAGTGGATTTGGTGTTTTACTATTTGTAGGATAGGGTCAATTGTTTTTGTGAGGTATGCTTCCAATCCGATTGTTGTTGTTGTTGTTGTTAGCTCAAGTTGGATTAGATCTCGGCCTCCTTAAGCTCTTGGTAAGTACAGCCTATCAATATCTGATTTCAGGTGGTGTATCCTCATTTGCGTAAACATTTTTTTCTGGTCTTGGAGTTCAATCTTTTAATGTCATTCAACTTCCATTTATTATTATTATTATTATTTTCTCTGACTTATGTTGTATACTCATTTCCTTCCTGATCCCAACCAGAGACCTAAGGTCAGAAATGGAATCATGACATTCTCACTGAAAATATTTGTAAAAAATAAAAATAAAGCAACCTAAGATCACAAACATTTTACATAGATAAAGCCCTTCGTAAGGTGTGGGATGTACTTGTGCGAGAAATTTTGTTTGTTTCTTTTATGTATTATTATTATTTTTATCGTTATTATTATTATTAATATTATTATTAACAGAAATACCATATCTTAAAGGAAAGGCATTTGCTATATAATTTAATTGCAAAGGATTCTAGAGTATCGTCACTGAGTTTGTCCAGAAGAATTATCTTAGAGCCAGTCAACAATGAGCAATATTAAAGTATGTTTGACTAATACATGTGGTTTAACATTCTGACCATTCACATGCTTTTCAACCATAATAACAAAGGCAGCACATTCACCAGAAAATTTTTTTTTTTACTATCTGTGGATAGTTTGTGTGAATTTAATTAAAAAAAAAACAAACTACCCAGTGGCATCCACAGCACGCACCGTAACTTCAATACCTTATGTTCCCTCCGTAACTTCAATACCTTATCTTCCCTCTCCGCTGATGCTTTTTATTTATCAACAGGAAATTGACACGATTTATTGGGAAAGATATTGCAATGGTTTCATATCTTCTCTACAGTTTTAATTTCAGAGTAGTTCTTTAAGACTTGCTGCTACCCTAGGCTAAAAAGCATAATCTACTCTTGTATTTAACCTATAGCTGGTGGGAGAAAGAGATTGATTCATGCCTTTCCCAACGATATTCGTGCGAAGTGAGCGCAACAGAGACGAGGCCGGAATTGGAACTCGGTTCGCCGATTTTCTTTTCACCGTCGATAACTGTAACGTTTCCCGTTTTTAATGGGAGGAGAGGTAGAAAAAAAA